TGCACTGTTGTCCCAGAGCGTTTGACGGTGGTGTTTGTGCAGTGAGTCTGCTGGGATGTTCAGTGTCCTATGTGTGTTGTATGTGGAATCTTCCTCTGCCGACTTGGGAAAGACAGCACTGTGGTTAACTCTCCCTTAGAAGATGGAGGTTTGTTTCGCTCCAGCCGAAGGGCTGTGTAAGCTGACGGGCTGTTGGGACAGGTAATTTCGCGAGAGGAAACTGGAGAGGTGCCGTGTGGCTCGCGAGGAACGGGGAGCGAGCCCCTCGTTGGTAAATCTGCGTCCGAGATGGCGGGGGAGAGAGAGAGGACCCCGAGAGGAGACTGCCAGGAGAAGTTGGGGGGGGGGTTACCGACACCCCCCCCGTGAGCAAAGAAGGGATGACAGGTGTACCCCTTTTCTGACTGCTTGTCTGATCACCGAAGAGCAGGGCGTGTTTCCTGTCCCCTCAGGATTTGTGTTTTGGTCAGCCCTCGGAGATCTGGAAACCCATCAGTGACCAATGTCCGGCTGGGAGTTTTTTTTTTTCCGTTGAGATTGGGGGGACCTCTGCAGATTGCCAACCCCTCGTTTTTCTAAGGTTTCCACCCCCTTAAGGTCTTCTGGTTAAGCTTTTTTCCTGATCTTCGTTTTGAGCTGGCCGAGCTGTGGCGAGACTCGGCCCCTGTGCAGGTCGGTAAGAGGTTTTGGGGTAAGTGGTGAGGTGTTTTTTCCCAGGTAATGGGGTTTCCCTCTGGGCGAGGTGCAGGGGCCGGTGCTGTTTTAGCTGCTGTGCCTTGCCGGTTTGAGATTCATGTCTCGGCGCAGAGAGCTTCTGGTTGAAGAAGAAATGGCCTGAGGAGGAGGAGGAGGAGGAGGAGCTGACAGAAGGCTGGTTTGGTTTCGTTGGCACAGCTGCAGCTTTTGTAGGTGGGGTTTTTGTCAAGGGATCTTGTTTTGGTGGGGGTACCGGCTTCGGTAAGTCTGAAGACCAAGCGATGGGAGCACCAGACGACCCCTGCGCCCTGTTCTGACCCCTCGCTGGCC